GGCCAATACATAATTTCCAAATCTTGCTCGCTAAGGTAACTCATTACCACCTTTGGCTTGTGACATGGGGCATTATCTTGCATAAAGGTAGCCCTATCGAAACCTGAATTCTGTATGATTGGCACAACACGATCTTGAACAATGTTTTTATAGATCTGCGCGTTTACACGAGGTTGTAACCGGACAAGAGGCGTTGTACCTTGGCTAGAAAACATTCCAAATACCATGACGCTTCCGCCCCCAAACTTGACAGTTTTTTAGTACACTTTGCACTTAATCTTTCACCAATACGTCTCTTTTACATTGTTTTTTCCATCATTTCCAAATAAATTAAACTTGCTTTCATCACTGAAAAATACTTTTGCCCAATTTTCATATGTCCAAATTACATACCTGTTTGCAAACTCTAATCTCTTCTTCTTATTCTTCGAACTAACAAGTGGTTTCTTCCCTGGGGTTCGATTAAACAGCCCTATTTCTTGCAGTCGTCTACAAACAGTCTGTCTTGACACATTAACACATGAGGTACTATTCATAACCCTTTTAATTTCTGTGCAAGACTTAAAACGGTCCTTTAATGACATACGCTGCATTATTCGATCTTCTCTTGCCGAAGTTTTGCGGGGTCTGCCGGTTTTAAAAGCACTAACTATTTTGCCAGTATCATTGTAGGATTTAACAACCCAGCCTACAACACTCTTGAAACGTTTCACTTTCTCTGAAATCTCTCTAATGGTGTGTTTTTCCTTGTGTAGCTTCACAATAGCTTGTCTCACAGAGTAATCAAGTTTTTGGCGTTTCGCCATGGTGCCGGCTGATGCAACGTTTACGAATGACTAAGTAAGACTTATTCTTTAGAGGAAATCAAAACATTTGAATATAGCATACTGTTTACATTGTTTTTCTCAATTTTGTCCCTTACTTTTGGACGATCCTACTTTGAAAATAAATAAATAATTGTTCTCATTCTTTTTCTATCCTTTGCAAATGATTCAAATTTTAGTATGTTATTATGGATGATAACGACTACCAGTTGTCAAAATTTCAGCTTTTCACAGTTATTTCTAACAAATTTGGTTTTAAAATTATTTTGGTGTAATATATATTATATATATATATATAAACTTAAATCCGCTTAGGTGAAACCTGGGTTTTGACTGGCTCACTAGGTTTATCTAGGTCTTCTACGGTTGTAAGCTCTTTTTAGTTAGTTGTTTACTCTTGTCGGGTTTTTTTTTCTTGGGCTTTAAACCTGTATCTGTGCGATTTTTTTTCGACAGACTTTTATGTTTCTATCTTTCTTTTTAAAAACCTTTTTTCCTTCGATTGATTTGATTATTGGTAAATCAAAAAATTCAAAGGTTTTTCGAAACGAGTATAGTTACCTATATTTATATATATATATATATATATATATATATATATGGATCGATGAGTATCGAGTCAATGATTATCAAACTCGGTCACTCGCACTCGATTCGCTTGCAGGACACACGCGTGCCAAAGCAAGTTATGTATGGCAGACCGGCGCAGATCAAATGCCCTCAGTTTGTAATACTTTTGTTCGAATATAAACTTTGGATACTTTCATAACAAATTTCATTTGGACACCCGATATATATGATATTCAACAAATTCAACAGACAGCTGATTTTAATACAACTTGCTTAAAAAATGCGAATCAAACAGTAGATGACGGAAAAGTTATTAACAAACAGCCACCCATTTTGAATAATCGCTAAGCGTAAAACAGCACTGTAAACGGGTAAAGAATATAAGAAAACACAATGTTACATAAATATATATATATACAGACTATCATCACTGTCGTGTCCGTATATTGTTTAATATGTTCGTAATTTACATCTTTGATAATGGCTTAAGTTATAGCTTAGATTATATTAAAAAATATGGATCAATACTGTGAATTTCTTTCTTCGTTTAACGATAATGTTATTAAACTTATCAGATGTTACGAACAAAATTTACATAAAATAAATAGACAACACTTGTCTATATTATTTAATGAAACTTG